GAGAATCTTGCTTGATGGCTTGGAAGCTTGTGGGGCGAAATGAGTCGATTTATTAGCATGGGCCATCACACCTTCGGAGGTTCCTCTGATCGAAGAAATCTTCTCCTTGTCTCTTTCTTGGTTGAGCCCAGCCAATTTTTCTACCATTTGGTCTACTAGGTCTTTTTAGTTTTTCAAGATACACTCCATGGTGGTCTTTTGTGCCTGTTTCATTTTAGATTCCCACTCTTTCAGTTCTTTCTTCAATTGCTCAAATTTGACTTTCATTCTTATTACCGTGTGAATGTAGTTACTGTTAGAAGCACTTCTTCAAAGTTTCCCACAATATATGATTAATTTATGTAAAAATGCTTAAATGAATATCATGCAAATGCAGATGCAAAAATGTTGATCTCAACGATGGATATCATATAATAATTTTCACCAGAAATAAAAGCTTTCACATTACAAGACAGTCCACTTTACAGACATACCTTTGCTTAGGTGTTGAGTCTAAAGTGGATAGCCGCTTCATCTTGGATCTTCGTCCTTGAAAATGTTCCCCTCAATCATTCTGCTAACGCCCCGACGATGCTGAAGTGCATTACTCCTTGATAGTTGATGAAATGATCATAGATAATAATCTATTACTGGATTACTCATTGGATCAATGGATCATCATTTCAGTCTCGAATGTTGCACGATCTTCGAGCTCACTGCTTCATCTTGGATCTTCGTCTTTGGAATTGATGCCCCTCAATGCTCTATAAACTAATTTGGTTAATGCCTCGACGGTGCTGAAGTCAGTACGTCGCTCCTTGATGACTAGTTATGATATGATCGTAGATAAGAATCTACTGTTGGATTACTTCTTGGATCAATGGATCAACTTTCCAATCTCAAATGTTGCACGATCTTCGAACAAGTCTCATTCTGTATTTTGGACTTTTCTTAACCCTCAATGCATGTCTGTGTATGCGACTGCTTGATTGAATTTTTTTTATCTCTTGTGCAAAATTTCCACTTGAGTATCCCCTTGCGATCAACACTTTTGCATTATGTTATGTTGATGCAATGCAATGCAAAGAAAGATAAAAAATGATACAAACAAAAGAAATAAGTTAGTGTACACAAACAAAAGAAAAGAAATTAGTCAGTACATGTAAGATAATCGATACAGATAAAAATGTTATTCAAAGATGAATATAACACCTACCCCATCATGATATCTATCCAAACATGCTTAAATTAAATAATATTCTTACACAGACATGCTTTCTATCTACAATGATATATTTACAAGAAATTAATCCTAACCACATAGTATCTAGTTCGCATGCTTTTATTCGAAAAAATATATTCTACAAATTTAAAGCAAAAGATAAGGGTTTAGAAACGCTCCTCCTTTGTGTACACTTAGTTTGTGTATCTACTGACAGATAGAGGTTCGATATGTCTATATATAGGGTGACCATTCTAGGGTTCACTATATGCATGGTTTCGGCTCTAACAGGAAAAGGGTACTCAAATTATCCTTGATGTCAGTGTCCCATTGGGCTACTAAACCCTCGATCCTCACCCATTACAAGTTTCGAGCGGAACGAGTTCAATTTGAGAGGATACATTCCCTTATGCCTGTGCGGAGAATAAATTCACACGAAGACATAAAGTATATGAATCTCAAAGGTTACTTGTTCGGCCCGCACGGAGAATAAATTATCACGAAGGAGTCGCTTTCCCCCATTTAGAAAGGGTTCATAGCTCGGGTATAGAACTTATGTTATGCAAAAGCCCGTGATGTGTGTGAGGAGGAACATTCAACCTTTTGGCTCAAAAGAAAAACGAAACCTCTTGACAAAAACTTGAACATATCTGAAAGCAAAAATTCAAATGTTAGTATGACAATAAAAATAATGAAGCAATTAAAAACTTCAATAAAAGGATCATAAGTTAACTAAAGACTCGAACTCATAATTTTCACCACAACAACAATGAGTAAACGACTTACAGCCTGACTCTCTGAAAAAGTCTTCAGCGGAGTCGTCAAGTTATCGTAACCGTTTTTAGGTGGAACAATTGCTAGTTTTTAAAAACAGTCACGACTTTAATTTTGGAAAATTCGGTGATTTTGGATTAATTTGAATTAAATTGAAAATAGTCGCCATCAACCTTTGGGTTAGGTAAGTCGAACAACTGAAAACATCTTTTAAAAACAATTTTAAGAAAAATCTTTTTTTGAAGAAAAACGCTAGTCTACATTTACCAAAGATTCAATTAAAACGGGTTTGGGAGTCGGTTACGCGTGGGGAAGGATTGGCACCCCCACAGCGCCCAAAATTTTGGTACTGTGTCACACGTTGTCGTAATTGGTAAAAATCATGAATTGAATATAAAGTTAAAATATAATTCATTTATTGAATATTGTCATTTCGTTAAAACGTCATATCAGATTGTACTATATCGATCAAATGATACTTTACACGCCCGTTCTGTAAATACGTGTTCTTGAAAATATTTAGAAAAGTGATATTAAACATATTAGTAAGTAAAATGAGTACTTTCTGATTGTTCAAAAATATAAGTTATAAATAATACATACATGAGTATATGAAGATCAAAATATGGTAAATAAATATATACATAATCATAAAAATGAGAATATATTATATATGTATATAACTACTCGATATGTAGAAAAGTATATAAATGTTTAGTAAGTGTATATAATAAACGCATATATGCAATAAAATGTATAAAATACATTACTATATACAAACTATAAAACATTAATATGTATATATATATATATATATCTATATAATATAAGTCATATATATATTCGAATATGTGTATATATGTAAAAAACGCAAATGATAATATGGAAACCTTAAACAAGATTACAAATAAAATTAACTACACATACATGGTGATTAAGAAGGCTAAAGGATATTAATAATAACTTGTAATTCTAAACTACAAAATCAACAGTAAACTAGGACATTAATATTATATATGTACTGACGTTTTTCTTAATGATTTTAGATTTTCAAAATTTTATCTCAAGCTTTATACCCGAGCTCCGAACTGTTTAAGTTAGGGTGAAAGTGACGTCTTCGTGAGAATTTATTCTCCGTACACGCCTAGCAAGTAACCTTCGGGATTCATATACTTTATGTCTTCGTGTGAATTTATTCACCGTGTGAGCATAAGAGAATGTATCCTCTCGAGTTTAACTTAGTCCACATGAGCTTGTAATAGGCTTAGAACTAAGGGTTTGGCATGCATAAGGGGCACTAGCAAGGAGAACTCGAATACTTTTTTTTAGAATCTAAACCGGGAGACTATAGGGAATTATAGCCCACCCCAAAACCTCATTTCAAACCCTAGGCTACTTTGAGATTATTTCTTTTTTTATTTTCTGTTTTAAGCATGTGAACTAGAAATTTATGGGGTTAGGATTGGTTAAAAATTAACGTGTGGGATATAGATCATGTTCAGGTAGGAATAATAAGCATGTGGAGTATATATCATGTGGGGTAGAACATTTATTTTCATAATTGTTTTAATTATTATCTTTACCTTACTAACTCTTTTCATTGTTGTTCTCTTTTATTTTATTTTCATCATTTGCATCATTCAAAAGAGGTGTTGATCCACCAAAAACGTGTTCGTTAAACGTAAATAATCTTTATTAATGGACAAGGGTTATAATACAAGAGATGAAAAATTCAGAAGTCCAGCTATGGTTAGAGAATACTCAGAATGGATCGGGATTTACATTGTGCACACCAAAAGTCAACTTTTTGAGTTGACAATGGTTGCAGGGGCAAGACTCAAAATTGACATTTTTATACTATTAAAACTCAAGGCATTGAGTTGTTTATTTGAACATGAGCATTCTTCTAAGACACAACTTGGGGCATCTCCAGTGGAGTCGCTAAGCTGTCGCAACCGTCTTTCGGGTGGGCCCAGACTTGGCTCCGACTTGAATAAAATGATTTAGAGTCGTCAGCGACCATTTAAAAAATATTTAGGTTGATCGGATACCATCTTACCTGATCTGTGTTTTACCAGAAATATGTCGGGCTCGGGAGTCGATTACAGTCAAGGAAGAACTAACACTCTTGAACTGCCCTTTCGGTACCATTTAATTTATCGGTTGTCTTAATTGCGAAAATTAAAATTTAAATTAAAAATTTAAAAATTCGATCATAATTATTTACCTTTTGATCAAATAAATTTATCCTAAAAAAGATCATAAATAAAGTAAAAAAAATAAAACAAACAAAAACAAAGAGTTAATATTAAAATCGAAAATAAATAAAAGTAAATAAAAGGAATGAAAGAAAATTCAAATTAAAAAATTAAATTAGAAAGAATTAAAATTCATGGATCAAATTAATTCTAGGAATGAACTGCAAGAGAAAAAACATAAACTTAAAGGATTAATAGCAAAAAACAAAATTTTAAAGTACCAAAATAGCACAAACAGAAAATTAAATGATTAAAATAGTATTAACATAAACTAGAAGGATCTAATAAATAAATATGAACAAATAAGATTCTCAACAATAATTTTAAAAAAATACAGGGGCCTAAATTATAATAAAATCTAATTATGTGGATTAAAATGCAATAAAACAAATGATAGTAACTAAATAAAAATAAACATGGATCCAAATGTAAGAAATTAAAATTCAGTAGCTAAATTAAGATCTAACAAAGACTAAATTGAAATAAAATAAAACTACGTAATAAAATAAAAATAAATTAAAAACGAAAGGATTACTGACCAAAATGTAAAAATAAGGCTAAGTTATGGGGACTGAAATAGTGGATTTACCAAATAATTAAAATATGTATAACAAATAGGTGTAATACCAATTTTGGTCCTTATAGGGACCAAAATGTAAAAACACGGCTAAATTGGAGGCATTTAAGATGTAATTATACCATTAACTTTGCCTATATATACCAATCCTTTGTTTTTTTGTTTCATTTTCACACAAATCAGAAAAAAAAAAGGAGAGCTCTCTCAAATCACTAGGAAATTAACCCAAATATTCCTCGACGTTTCGACTTCTTACTCCGGCCACCGTGGTGATGAAACGACACCTTTTAGGTAAAACCTTTACTTTCTTTTTTAGAATATTCGTTAGCATTCATTTTTACTAAAAACGTTATTTATTTATGATTTTTGTTATTATTTCGAACAAGAAAAAAAATATGGCACTTATATTTCGAATACCAGAAAAAAAAAAACATAAAAAAAATACTTGTAAATATTGCTTCTTATTTTCTGAAAAAAAATCGAGAGGAACCGGGCTCCTTTCTTACATTTTCATTCGGCTTTTTATAGCCTTTTTGTTTTACAGATCTAGCATAAAAATATTATACACTTGATATTTGAATATAATATCTCGTGATTTTATTCCTTGTGAGTAAGACATGCATTAGTGGAAGTGGCGGCAGAGCACTTTGAGGCACCCAATTGTTTAGGGTTAGTGAGCCGGGTCGGGTCGGTTGGTCCTCGGGTCTGGACTTGAGTCGGGTCTCACGAGTTGGGTTGGATTCTGGACTCCAACTGGGTCTTGGGCTGCTGGGTTGTATTGGTGATTAGGCCTCATTTGGGTAATTGGTTCGGGCTTGAACTTAGGCCTGCAAAACAGTGTAAATATGTTAATAATAATGATAATAATAATGATAATAATAATAATAATAACAATAATAATAATATAATAATATATTTTAAGTCCGGTCAAAAACGGGTGTCTACACATATATAGGAAAAAACTACTTTTAGATGCAGGATATATAATTTTATGTAGTAGTATGATGCATTTCTTGGACGTGTCAATTTCGTTCTTGGAGTTCAACCTTCCTATGTGATCATATTCTGGCCGTATACTCCTAGCTCTTAGAGTCAATCACGTATTGAGTGAACTGAGGACAAGATTTATTCAGCTTGCTTCATTGATCATCATATGGGATTTACAACTTGGTCTTACTTCTAACTAACTCTGTGGATGAACTGGCTTTTTGTAGTGAAACATATTGAGTTGGGGATCTACTGATCTAATTTGATTTTATATTTTCAGTGTTTGTGCAGCTGGGATGATCCTGATAAAATGTTCACTGAAGTTGAGGGCTTATCCGAAGGCAGATTAATGTGAGCATTGTTATGCATGTTATTCTTCTATCCTGTTTTCCCCCCCAATGCAATTAACCACAAAAACCCTTTATCTCAGATGTCTGTTCTCCTAGTGTGCAACCTTTCCATGCTATAGCATTTCCCATTGATCCGATGCTTGCACTTGATACAAGGTATAAACATCTTTTCACAGCACCTTATGTTATTTTGCTGTGGCGTACTAGAGTTTTATAGTAACATTTCTTCCTCTGCAGCCGTGAATATGCTGCTCATTCCTCCTTGGCTGCATTTCGTTTTGCTCTTCCTCCTTTTAACCATCCTGCTCCAATTCCTATTAAGCATGATGATGGAAATCAGAGGCTAAAGGTTGGTTATATGAGCAGTGACTTAGGCAATCACCCCTTGTCACACCTCATGGGATCAGTATTTGGCATGCATAATAGAGAGAATGTAGAGGTTGTTCTCTTTACTTATTTTGGTGGTTAATCTTATTATGCTAGAAGTTTCTGGCCATGATTAACATGACAACATGGTGTTTGCAGGTATTTTGCTATGCCTTGAGTCAAAATGATGGCACTGAATGGAGACAGCATATCCAGTCTGAAACTGAGCATTTTATAGATGTATCTGCCATGACATAAGATATGATTGCCAAAATGATTAACAATGACGGAATACAGATTCTTATCAACCTGAATGGTTATACAAAGGTTGATATGATCAATTTTCTAATTCTTTGAGGAACCAAATTTTGTTTTCAGAGGCTTGCTATACTGAGTACTATGATACTATGATATGATAATTAAAAGTGAATCCAATATTTTTTCTTCAATTTTTTTGGCTTGTCTTATTAATAACACAAAGTTCCAAAAATGTCTAATATTTTTACTTTTCTGAATTATCAACTTTATGAAATTCTGATAAGAGATAATTTCTGCTCAATAATACAGGGTGCGAGGAATGAAATTTTCTCCATGCAGCCAGCACCTATACAGGTTTCTTATATGGGATTCCCTGGGACTACCGGTGCAGATTACATTGACTACTTGGTCACTGATGACGTAATAATTGATGCTTGAGGTAAAGTTAACCTCCATTTATGCTTATGTTCTTCAACTAAACTGCTATTTATATGCTTTCAGTTTGTCTCACCTTTGCGCTATGCAGATATTTATTCTGAGAAACTTGTCCATCTCCCTCATTGCTACTTTGTGAACGATTATAAGCAGGTGAGTGGACTCTTATTTATTTATTGGCAGTAGATTCTTATAACAGTAAATACCTGATTCTATAACTTTAATTGCTTTCAGAAAAATCGCGATGTGTTGGATCCAAATTCTCAGCACAAGCGATCTGATTATGGCCTTCCTGAAGATAAATTTATTTTTGCATGTTTCAATCAGTTGTATAAAATGGATCCTGAGATCTTTAATACGTGGTAATATGTGGATGATCCCCGAGTTTAGTGAATGTAATTTCCATATTTTGTCATTGAACTTACATGCATCTTTTTCTATTCAGGTGTAATATTCTTAAGCGTGTCCAAATAGTGCCCTTTGGCTGCTCAGATTCCCAGCTGCTGGAGAAATGAGGCTGCGAACATGTAGGTTCTGCATTTATGTTTTCTTTTCAGAACAAAGCCTTCAAAAATAATGCCTTTGTTTTATAATTCATATTTTTTTTATTGATGTTGATCTTCATTTCAGATGCTGTTGCTCAAGGGGTGCGGCCAGAGCAAATAATTTTCACAGATGTTGCAATGAAACATGAACATATCAGGCGCAGTGCTTTAGCTGATCTCTGTCTCGACACGTAAGTATTGTCTTCCCTGCTCTCAATCTTTAACAACATTTATTTTATCTGCAGCTCCGTAATGATGGTTGTGTTACTCTTTCTTTATAGCCCTTTATGCAATGCACATACTACTGGCACGGACGTGTTATGGGCTGGTTTACCTATGGTGATGCTGCCTCATGAGAAAATGGCTACACGGGTTGCTGGTTCACTTTGTCTAGCAACTGGTTTGGGGGAGGAGATGATTGTGAACTGGTAGGTGTTTAACGTTGTCCTAGGAGATTATGTATATTGGTATATGCATCGGGCAACATCATGTTCAGTCATCATTTCTTCATGGTCAAGTTGGCATTTCTAATAATTTTTATTGAAATTTCTTCCTGTGTTTTACAGTATGAATGAATACGAAGAAAGGGTCGTCACATTGGCATTAAATAGACAGAAGCTTCAGACTCTTACCAATAAACTCAAGGCAGCTCGTTTAACTTGCCCTCTTTTCGACACAGCACGCTAGGTAAAGCTTAATTAACGCTGCAGGTTATTATGTTTTGCATAATCCATCAGCATAAATGCTTGACAATTCGAGTTATAAACCGTGGCAGGTGAGGAATCTGGAAAGTTCTTACTTCAAAATGTGGAATCTGTATTGCTCGGGGCAGCAGCCCCAACACTTCAAAGTCACTGAAAATGACTTTGATTTCCCTTATGATAAATAAGAACAAACGGGGATTGTAGATAAAGAATGAAGAGGATATATTTATATAGAACAAGAGAGGTCCTACCTAGGATAAAAAGATTGCTCAGAGTTCATTAGTAGAAATGATATTAAGGTTGCCATATGATTTTACTGAGATAAGTTCCGTTTTCTTTCATGCATTTTATTTGCTTTATTTATGCCTGTTTGAAATTGAGATTGAAAAAAGGGTCAGAAATGGCGACCAACAATAGTGTTCCAGAAGATAACGTCGTCTTCATGAGATGAATTAGTTCAATGAATTGCAACCATGTGGATGGTTTCTTTCCTTTTTATGTGATGGCAACAGGATAATCTCATGAGCAGATTGACCAAATTTTTTGGATGGTGACAGGCTTTGATACCTTATCATAAAAAGGTACTTTCTTCTCTCTCTCTCTCTCCCTCTCTAGCTTTTTGAAAGCTTAAAGTTTTGAAACTACCATTTGTACAAATATGGCCGACTGGTTTTGCATAGCCCCCAAGCCAGGTGCCATGGCAGTCGTGTAGAATGCCGCCAACCGTGCCTACGGAGGAAACTGAGGAAACCGAGGCATCATGCTGCCAACCGTGCCTATGGAGGAAGCTGAGGAAACCGAGGCATCGACATTAAGGCAAACGTGCCTGTGCAAGATTGGCATTGGAAGATTGCATCAATGTGCTCCCCGTCTGATGCAAACGTGAAAACATTCTGATGCTTCCATATTTGCTACACTAGAAAAAAAAATTTCCAAGGAATACCATTAGAAAATAAGTTCAAACGTATATCCAAACAAGTACTAAGTTGGAAATTTATAATCTTATGACATGTTCACTATATCTAATAGGTTTTAACATATATCCGTACCAAGTTAGGATCAAGTATTAGGAGCAATGATCTATTAAGTGATTAAATCTAATTAAAAATTAGGAGGAATAAATTTTTTATCTAGCTAATTTTTAAATTAATAAGAAACTAAAATGTTGAAGAAGACCAAGGAAATGTTGAGATATTTACGAAATTGGACAAAGATAATAATATGAAACCATAAATAAAAAGAAAATGAATATATATATATATAATGTGAAAATTTTGGATGGTTAACTAATAACTATCATTAAAATTGTATTGTACAAGAGAGTTACAAATTTAAACATCATAATTCAAGAAAACTCTAGGTACATACATGCTTATCACATTTTAGATTGAATTGAACAAAATTCGGATTACAATTTTTAACAATTAAGATCAGTCTAACTTTAACTAGTTGTGTTGTTTGTTTGCTGTTGATTGAAGGAAGCAGACAGGTGTATTTATAGATGAAAACCTGTGAAAGTGGTCCTCATTTATCTACATCAAGTAAGTGAAGCTGTACGAATCTATTTACCTCAGTGATTAAAAAAAATATTTTTATTCTTAAAGATAATGAGTTTGAGAACCAGCGACCACGGATCCTTGCAATATTCCCCCGATGGCTACAGATTATATATTTTCAGGAAAGGTATATTCCTCAACAACTGCATTTCTTTATTACCTTTGCTCTGTCTCTTTGATTTATCCCAAGTATATATCATTAGAATAGTTCAAGGTTGTTGGAAAACATTTTCCATTATAGCTTCTGATACAAGACAAAAACACCCTACCAGCTAAAGAAAAAACCATCAAAATGGACAAATCAAGACTACAGGAAACTGGTACCAATGTTTTTGGGATGTTTTATCATTACCATTTAATTTGTAATGATTAAGTTCATAAAAGAGTGAGAACAGCAAATTTATTTATAATATATGGTATTGTGTATTTTAACCCAAAGTTGTACAGTTTTGTTTCACAAGAAGTTGGATGCAACTAAGTAGGCAAAAATAAGTTTTCAAGGTTAAAGAAAATTGCAGCTTTTTTTAATCATATGTTGTAACCATAATTAGTATAGAGAAGGATCCTTTATCTCACGGATGAACATAGCCATTGTATCCATTTTACAAATCCAAAGGAAAATCCATTTAACAAATCCATTGTTTCCGTTTAACAAATTTAAATAAATATACTCACTTAGCGGTCTCAATGATAAAATGAAATATTATTCTCCCTAGATGATTCGAATTCAAGGTTTGTAAGGTGTATATGCGCTAAATGGATACAATGGCTATGTTATTCTTCTAAGGGTGCATTTGATAATGCTGTCTAAGAGTACTTTTAGCTAAAAATCTTCTTTTAACCACAAAAGCAATATTAAACGGGTAAAAATTGAAAAAAAATGATGTGAAAATAATGGTTTCAAAATAACCGCAAAAGCACAGACTTTTAGCTTTTTCATTTTTCAACTTTACGTTTAAAAGAAAATTTATATACTTTTACCCTTATTAATACATGAGCTCCACTCATTTGTCTTGAAAAAAATTCAAATTTCTTCATTAGCTACCTATTTACATTTCATTTCAATAGTTTGATACTAATATATTTAAAAAATAATTCATTACTTAATAATTTATTTTAATTACTTAAAAGTAAATAAAATTTATGTTTTATATATTAAAATATTAATAATCATAGTATTAATAAGTGTAGATATAATTTAAATATTATATTTTTAATTTACAATATAATGTTTAAAATGAATGCTTTATCTTTTCAAAATCATTTTTTAACAATAATTTTAAATAGTTAAATTTTAAATTGTACTTTTGAAAAACACTTTTAAAATTTATTTTATGCATCGCTTTTGAAGGTCACTTTTCAAAAGAAATGCCAAATTGAAGAAAGACTATGCATAAATATTACTCTCTCCATCCCACTAAATGTATTCTTTCAATTTTTAAAATTCTCTCATTTAAAATGTTATATTAGAAAAGTCAATAAACTATACTTATATTTCTTTTTTTACCCATATGTTTTATTCTTTTACACCAATCAACACAAATGTGTCAAATCTATCAATAATTTTTTAGAGATAATTTTATCATTTTCCTGGATAAAATATATCTCGTAAAATTATGTTCATAATCAATATAAAATACAAATTATGAGACGGAGAGAATACCATTTATTCACGACATACTATTTAAAAAGATCCAAACAATTTTTTACCATTGACAGTCTAACAAAAGTAGCCATACTTATCTCTCTTAACTTTTTTTTTTGAGTTAATTGCATCACATGTGCTTAAAGTATGACATTAATTTTAAATTGGTCTCTAAACTTTTAGATATTTTAATTTCAACCCTAAACTATGACTACATTCTAAATTAGTCCTAAAACTTATGAACATTTTGATTTCATTCCCAAACTATGGGATTCGTTCTAAATTAGTCCACAAACTCTTTGAGCATTCCAAATTTATCCCAAACTATATTTATATACTAATCACATTCATTGTTAATAAAATTGTTAGGCTAAGTTATATTATTATATGTTTGAAAAAAAATTAGGTTAAATTGTGGTTGAAAATAATTCCATATTTGGATGAGTTTGGGGATAAAAGTGGAATATTCAAAAGTTTGGGGACCAATTTAGAAAAATGGTCATAGTTTAGGGAGAAAATTAGAATGTTCAAAATTTTAAGGACTAATTTAGAATGAGATTCATAGTTTGAGGATAAAATTAGAATATTCAAAAGTTTAGGGACCAATTTAAAATACGAGTCATAATTTAAGGACATATAATGCAATAAACTCCTTTTTTTCTTTCTAAAAGCTTATTGCGGATTGCATGCAGAATGAGTAGTAATTTTGTCTTAGCTTTTAACAATAGTCATAACTTCGCTTTGGATCCTCCACAAAGTCATATTCCATTATCTTATCTGAATGGGTATGGTGTGCCTTCTAAAGGAAAGTGTATCGTTAAAAATCTTTCTAACCCTACATGAAGGAAAATAATACATTCTCCTCCATAACCCCAAAGTCGTAACTTGCCTTTTGTCTTACCAAGTAATTGTTTGTATCATTCATTGGTTAGGTGAGCATTTCCTTTTATTAGGAGTGATATTTGAAAGGTTGGGGTTATGTTTGTTGTATCGTGTTGTCTATTTTTATTTTGTTGAGGAGAATGTATTTTTTTCTTCTATTTAGTGTTAAGGAGGTTTTTAACGAGACATTCTCTTGACTCTGTTTTTATGATTATATTAATAGAAATTATATTTAACAAGCAAAAAAAAAAAAAACCATATCTGAAATACTTTAAAAAAACAAAACATAAAGAGAAAGAGTAACATAAGATAGAATTGCACACTTCATAATGAACATGAAAACGAAATAGCCAAACATAAACATAGACAGAGAGGTTCAAAACTATAACAATGACAGGTGGGGGGAAAAAAACCAAAACAGCTCAAACCAACTCCATGTGATTCAATCAGAACTGTGTCTGAAGATATTCCACCAATTTCTTATCCAGTTTGAAGGCTTTAGCAAGCACATCAGGATTGATAGGTGAGTTAGAGCCGAACACTGCATTAGCAATGGTGATAACTCCCGGATTTTGGCTGCTAAGACTGGCAAAGGCGACGGCATTCGTCTTCCCGATATTGAATTGGAAATGAATGAGACCGACCGGGAAAACAAACACATCTCCAGTTTTAAGAACTTTGGTGAATAAACGATTATCGGGATTCGATGTCACGAAGCCGACGTACAGCTTACCCTTCGTCACGACTAGGACCTCGGTGGCTCTAGGGTGTGTGTGAGGAGGGTTTAGGCCACCATAAGGCGCATAGTCAATTCGAACCAGGGATATGCCGAGTGTGTTAAGTCCCGATATTTGATCAACATTGACCGGAGTGACCCTTGATCCCACCGCATTCGACGTGTTTCCGGCTTTATCGAGACCTGAAAAGAAGAAATCATTTGCAGTGACAAGCTTTGGGTCCTTGCAGAACTTCCCATTTACAAACACTGCAGGAAAAAAAACAAATGATGTTATTAGTTAACACAAACACTATCAAAAGACAATGTACAAGGTTAGTATGATTATATAAAAGGGAAAACTACGTGTTTTGTCACCTACTTATTCCTGCAGTTCTGTTTTGGTTACCAAACTATATTTTCTTTTAAAATCATACATAATGTTACGTTTTGATTCCGTTTTGATCACCCGCCATTAAAAAATAAACAAAACTAATGACGTGATGGTTTTTTTTTCAAATGATGACATTGCATTATCTTAAGGGGATATATCATTATCACCTTTAATTTTTTAACCACGAGTGACCAAAACGTAACTTTAGGTATGATTTTGAAAAAACAATAGTTAAGTGATCAAAATGGAACTGAAGGAATAGGCAAGTGACTAAATATGTAGTTTACCCAGTAAAAAATATACCAGCATTCTTGGTGCTATTGAGGGCTACACAGAAGTCCTGGAGAGAGCTGGGGTCTGAGGCTGAGGCGAAAGTGGAAGCCAAAGCCAAGAGGGAAAAAATTACAATAGAAGTGTTAGCTCCTTTCATTTTGGATCACTTTTCTATGTACTTTTAATTGTTTGCTTGATGAAGTTTTATTTGGCATACAGTGACTATTTATAGATGAACACTACTGGTCCTTGTATTTTTATTAATACTTAATATGGTTTCATGGCTACCTATTTTCTATTTCGGGGATGAATATATTATGCATGGCATCTCATTGGGACACCATTTGTCCACTAAAGCCCTTCGAAAAGACAAACATTAACAAACTAAACCAATGATAACAATCGGACATTAGGTAATTAGGACAAATTGAGAACATTAGGCATTAATGGTTTTATTCTTGTTTGCGCTAGAATCAAGAAAGGGTTTTTGCAATTAGGGTCGTAAACAAGTTGAGTTGAGTTTGAGTATTTTGCGCATGATTCGACTTGAAAATTTTAAAGTTGAGCTCGACTCGACTCTAAAGCTCATAAACTTAAAATTCTCAAGCTCGACTTAAACTCAAAATCAATAATTGAAGTTCGAAAAAACTTGAACGAAACATTCTCAAACTTAATTCGAATAAAGCTCAAACTTAAGCTCGAATATGAACCTGAATAAGTACATTAAGGACTTATTCTATTTTTTAAAAAAATAAACGTAAAAATTTGAATATATTATTTTTTATTAGAGTATCAAGTAGCTCGTTTCAGCTCGTTAACAACTCGAATTAAATGTATTTGAATTGAGTGATGATCGAATTTTTACTGAATTAAACTCGAATTAAATGTATTTTAATTGAGTGATGATCGAACTTTTACTGAATTAAACTCGAATTAAATGTATTTGAATTGAGTGATGATCGAACTTTTACTGAATTAAACTTGAATAATTTATAATTTGTCCATCTCATTTACGATATATCTGCCACAACATATTAACATTGTGCAAGGGCGTTTAGCGTCCGCCATTAATGAGGTGGGAAGAACTTGCCGAACTTGTAATATTATAATAAAGAGGAAATAAAGAAGATGAGTTGTTAAAAATTTGGTAGGTAGTTACGACATTCGGCCATGAATGAATATTGATAAAGCAGTGTGAGACAACATATAACTAAACACAACACTGAACAAAACTAGTGTCAATAGCCGACTCAAGATTCCAAAATTTTCTACAGGTTGAGTGCTTCTCATTATTTTAATATTAATCTTAGTCATTTATTTTTATGCATATAACGATCTTAAATCTATGTCAAAGAATTATTTTAGCTTAATAATTATACCATGCAAAATTATTTTAACTTTACATAGATTTAAGATCGTTATATGCATAAAAATAAATGACTAAGATTAATATTAAGATAATGAGAATATATTATCAGAAAAATAAGTTAATCTCAATCATCTATTTTTGCTCATCCAACGGTCTTAAATTATTAAGAGTGTGTATTTTCAGATACGAATATTATCCGATCCGAAATTTCATATATCCAAAAAATTTGGATCACTAAAATTATGATCTGAATTGGATCTAAAAATTCGGATATCTGAATTTTCAAATCTATCCAGATTTCTGAATTCAAAAATAAAATTTAATTTAATAAAAATTCATATTTTAATTATATATATATATATATATATATATATATATATTTTATATAACTTTCTATATGAATATACATTTAATTTTTCACCCACAATAAATAATTAAATATTTTAATTTTTAAATTCAACACTTCAAATATCAAAATAAATTTATTATATGAGAGCATAAGTTCTCCACAATTTAGAAATATTGTAGGATGCATGAATAATATGCCTATAACTTAAAATATATTAGTACTTTACTGGGTTATTGATTTGGTAAATTAAAGTTTGAGTTTTCAGAATTAACAGGGTTGATTTAAGTGGTAAGTAACTTGATATCGCTTAAGCAATGTTTTAGGTTCGAGTCTTTGTGTATGTAGAAAGTCTACGCTAGGAGACTCACCTACCAAAACTAGGTGTCTGACCCGGGTTAGTCCAGAATTAATCAAGACGGAGCCTTAGAACTAGAGGTAAAAAAAAATTGAGTTTTCAGGAATGTGTTTAATACGTAAAGTTACTTCAATTTTTTAACAGACATTTGTATTCAAGTATGTTGACTCACGCGGTGATTTATTTACTGCAGCAGGTTAAAGCATTTTACAAGTGTTAATCGGTTGGGTTTATGCTTTAATGGGTTATTATTGAGCTATATTCTATCTAAATTTTATTATTCAGCTTATTTTTGTGTGATATGTTATTATCTCATTGGTTGAAAGAATTATTTTCACTAAAAAGATAATTTAACGACTTAAAGCAAAAATATAATTTCGGGACTTATTTTTACTCTAAGCCTTTGGATGAACTATACCAATAGACTTTCAAGTATTGGTAAGTTTCTCTTTTAATCACCTAACTATGAAATATCATAGATAATCTCTATTCTATCCTTTTTTTGTCTCACGATTGTTACTTAATCACCGATAGTGATAAATTTAACAATCAATATTTATATTTTGTATGAATTTGATTTTTATTTTAATATTTTTGGGAACTTTCTTTTTAGCCCCAACATGTTCAGTATTTTCTCCAGAGGGGTATAGTCTACTCGGTGAAGCGTTCGGGGTGCCAACAGAGGAGAATCTAAGGGCAAAATTGGTCCAATAGACCAGGCGGATAAAAAATTTAGTTCATTAAGCCATCTCCAATACGACACAAAACAAATTATTTAAGGATTTACGACAATTTTGTGATTCCCCCAGAATTTTCAAATTCCTAATTTGGCTTCCTTTATAGTATTTTCATAAGATTTGATTTTCATTATGAGAGTAATTTTTAATTATAATCTGTAATTTAATTTGGTAGCCTAATACTAAGTTAAATAATTGCAATATCTAACTACATGAAGGTATCTAAATATTGATTTGGTAAAAATAAAGTTAAATAATGGCCTATATTATACAAAATGAGCATTAATTATTTTAATTTTCTAACTGGTAATTTATTCTACAAAACTATTTTAATTTTTATAAATACATTATTTATAGTAGCTCCGATCATGTCATTGATAAGATAGAACCGATACTTATTCTCGATTTTCACTTTAGTCAACTGATGATAATCAAGACAAAATCTCGTAGGTTTCTTCCTTAACAAACGAAAAAAGGGTCACAAGACGATATATTAAGTCGTATAAAATCTTCATCAAACAATATTCTAGATTTAAACTACGAGTTCCAAAACTATCGTAAAATCTCTAAAATCTCACCCTCTAAATATTGAAACATAATGTCCAATTTAGATTAAAAAATAATTCTCAAATTTTAGAAGAGTTACAATCATGACAAAATTGTGATCTGATTTAATTTTTTTTGGATCACGCCATAAAGTTACAATCAAGACAGTGATAAAAGTGTGAGGCTTGTAGGATGGGCGAATTTCCTTATTGTTGATCATGAAAGGATATTCAATTAGAGTAGCCTTTGCAAATTCCCTTGATTTTCGACCCCTGTAAATACAAAACAGGGAATATGGAGTTTTTATGTGAATTTTGTACTAGTTGTAACAAATTTTGTACTTCTTCAATGTAATGAAAATTTCTTTTCATTTGTCCGTGATTTTTCTCTTTTAGACTTTCCACATAAATCTTTATACTTTTTGTTTTATTTTTTTGATCGTTTCGTTTGCCATTAATTACACAGATAATCATAACAGAAGCTCGAAAGCTTCGAATAGGAGGAAACAGAATCTAAGATGGATTCATTATCTACGTGAATCTCTTGAGCATCAAATACATATTCTGAGATTATACTTCAGGTACCGCATACAAATCCGAACTAGAGAGGATCTGTCGGAGTCGGAGATCTACGAAAGGTCCTAAGTATATCATTCGTTGTCATAATCAAGGAATGACCAAATAGTTTGATATATGTATATATAAACTCGCACAAGTAGCCAAACATCTTAATAAAAACATAAACTGAAATCATATTACATTAGTTGTAAGTCACATATATCAAACACAATTACACTTCTAGGTGGCATATATAAGCATTAAGTCACACAATGATCATCATTTTAGTCTTAGAATCGAATAAAATTCGGCTATGATACCAAAATTGTAACACCCAAACTCGATTTAGACGAAAACCGAATATGAGATTCTATCATAGAACACAAAATCAGGAACTTTCAAACATGTGTCAAACATTGATAATAATTATCAGTTGAACATTTAATAATTCATTTTAAAATATTCATCCTTTAATGATAATATAAAACCTTATTAGTGATTATGGACCATATTATTTTTTTTTAAAAAAAGTTCAAAGACTAAAGTATAATCATCTAAAAGTTGAGGGACTATCTTGTAATTTAATACCAGTTTACTAAAGATCCAAATTTTAGGCCATATAACCCCATTTATTCAAATCAATCATCATATGAATTCATTATAAACCAATTTGTAAAGTTTAAAAACATAAGGGACTTAATTGTAATTTTCCAAAAGTTGATGGACTAATAAATAAATTAATAAAAACAATAAATTTAATAATTATTGAGGCCAACTATGATTTTATTCAAGTTATTATAAGCTTAGGAGTACTTAAAGACAATTAATCCACTTTATAAGGACTGACATGAAAGTCTTGAATCTCAAAGGACTAAACATGAAATTGTTGCACTTTTATTACAATATGCTCGAATATTTCAATCCTAAATCAGAAGTTCGATATTCTTACTCTAACTCTTACTTAAGCAGCGACAAGCCCTAATTGTATTCTTAGCCAACAAGAAACAATCAAATTGGCATCCCAATCTCAATAAATAGTTAACATGCACTTATTAACCCAACAAGCAACGAAATACATGCTTTTTTTTTTGAGTTAATCACTAGCATCCGATTTATTGACCGACTAATCCATATCGGATACTGCAGAGGCGGGGACGGCCCTCCCAACCCAGTTTTCTCCATTTGCAAACGCCAGGATTCGAATCTCTGACCTTGCTTAAGGGACCTATTGCCTCATCCCACTAGAACAACTGGTTGTAGGTCATGC